CATCCCTACTCTTTGTTATATAAACACAAGTGGAAAATCATTTCCTCATATCTCTTCAAAATGAGGCGGATATAGGGATGCTTGAGCACCACCAAGGAAGAAAACAAGGGGTCATACGCAGCTAAGATGCATAAGCTACATGACACAATTCCTATACCTTTGTTCGATATTAACTTTCCTTATGAACAATAAAACAAGATATAGGGATTGTGTCATGTAGCTTTGTGCATCTTAGGTGTTTAATGAGCCTCTTGTTAACCTCGGGCGCGCTGCGCAGCGAGGTTACGGTAGTTGTCCTGTAAGTGGTGTTGTCATTCTGTCAGTCGTCATTTAACCCTCGGGGCGCGCAGCGCAAGCGAGGGCTACATACTTGGGTCTTTTGTCTGTTGTGTGTGTTCTGTTTGTCTGTTACCTTCATCCTCCTTCTCGGTGTTTTCTTTTCGTCTCACAAAGGATCCACCTACTGAACGGGCAATGAAGGTCGAAAATAAGGCGGTTTTCCGAAACTGCTCCGTTGTCAAAGCTGTGCGCGAAAAAGCGAATATGGCAAATATACAAGACGGGGGGAGGCTTACCAGTCGGATCGATCGCGTGCTCTCGCGTACCACGGAGGCAACCAGAAGATGCAACGCAGGGCGTGTATCGCTCTCGCAGTGCTATCTAGTAGTGCTAGTTAGCCCGCGTGCAGCACTCTGTGCGCGAGGCTGGAAGAGACCGCGAGTAACAGCCTACAACTAAACCAGCCCTCAATTAGTGGTACGGCGCATGCGCTTTACTTACGCGTGCGCGTCACAGTAGCGGATGCCCGGCAGAGGGTTTTGTACTTCAGTGCTTTTCATTCTGTCTGTTACCGACGTTTTCTGAGCCACGACTGCGCGCACGAAATCAGGTAAATAAAGCGGTATGATCTGATCACGTTCATGATACCTGCTATTTTTACAAAAGGCTGATTTCGTAAACTACTGCGTTCTAAAGCTTATGGTCGTGAAAACCAAGTGAAACAAGCCAATCATGGTAATTAGTACATAACACAGCTTACCTCGACTGCGTCGCAGCGCTCTGTGTATCTTGAAGGCACAAGAAGTCACAAGAAGGGCATGTATCGACTCCCGCATGCAATCTACTACTGTAGCTAGCCCGTGCCCAGACTCTCCGCGAGCTACTAGCGCGATACGACGAGTAAAGGAAAAAAAGCCCAGCCATCAATTAGTGGTACCGCGCATGCGCAGTTCGCCGAGGGTTTTGCACTTTAGTGCTTTTCATTTCTCCTTTTGGTGCAAGACCAGCATATAACTCATTTGACAGAGAATGATTTGTTCCACTAGTTTCCACTATTTTTAACAACTTATGACAACACTACATTTTATTGTTACAGTCACTCTGATGTTCATGGGTATGTTGTAGATAGGTTACCAAGGACAAACTCTAATTTTTGAAAGCTGTAGCTAATGGGTTGCTAGTGCCTGAAGCAGGAGCTAGATACCATATTCACCTCAGGTATTGTCTGCAACAAGGATGTAATTAGGTTATGGCACATGGTTGTAGTTTCATGGGCAGGCTTTGGTAATCAGGGCTACAACCTAGGGGGGACAAATGAAGGCCTGCACCTGGCAATTGCTCGCGTAACACCGAGCTGACTCTGCCAACCGTGTAAATCAACAGAAAAACGCAAGCTAGCAAGTTGGAAATGTGCACACTGACTTACAAAGGCACTGGAGGCTAAGAGTTTCTCTGCAGGTCTGTCAACTCGCCTGGTGACAGCAATACACGCGCACAGCGCATTCCACAACGCCTCAGCATGGCGCATGCGCGCGGCTTACTGATGCTGAGTTAGCAGCAAATGGCGTTGTTCAGTGTCGACCATGGAAGAGCTCCATGATCTACCGTAGTGACTTACGGCAAGAAATAAACGATCGCTTGATGTCCGTGCATACCTCCGGCGAAATTGGAGACGTTCAGTGAAAAAATCATCGCTTCAACTGGTTCTGGTAAGGAGATAGCGGGATTGAAGAAGATGATGACACGAAAATCGTGAAGTCGAACGAAGTCTCGCGTGGAGAACCGAAGGTGCGTATGAGGTCTTTGGGAACATGTATAGGTAGATATGGGCCCGTAGACTATTGCTAGTGTGTTTTGAAGGCCTAGTTCTCACCGAGTTTTTAGGCGTTTTGTACGCGGATCACGTGAGATTTCGCTCGTGCCCTCCCTATATAGAGCGTCTACAGACGCTCTAATAAGCATGAAAACACCCACGAATTCTCGCTTCGCTCCCCAATAATGCGTTGCATTCGTTCTTCCTCATACACTTATCGTAAGCCAAATGCATTCCATGCTGGGGGTGTGAATCTCCTTAGTTAAAGCCATATATAAATTCTTATGCACTTATGGAGGCTCTGTGCATATATACATAATATGTAAATGGCGCCCAAAGGGTTAAATTATTGTAAGCCAAACGTAATCCATGCTGGGGGTGTGAATCTCCTTAGTTCCAGTGGCGCAGAAGGCCATGAGTTCCAGAGTGGACTGGACCAGTGGTAGTTGGTAGGTGTGGACTCTGTACACCAGGTCTGTGAGGACCTGTGTCAACTGGGGGCAGAGGAACAGTAGTACAGTTGCACTATGCTGGATCATTCTGATTTCCACCAAATGAAGTATGGTATATAGCTACGAACATGCATTATCGTCAACATGTAGTATCTATTATACTAGGTTGCTACGCCAAAGTGGCTTCACATGTATATTCTCCAGCTGAGCCCAGCAGAACCAACAGAAAATAATGACTTGATGCCAAAAAACAGTATATATAAATCTCTGAGTGACAGACAAGAAGGTACACAGACATGTGCACATGCGTGCAATACACACAGGAAGTGCATGCTTGTACTAAGAGCACTATCTCTGAATAACAGACAAAAATGCATCTTTGCTAAGTTCTACATTTCCAATCTGTTTCATTTTCTTCTTCCCCTCCTTTTGCTTTCTCAGTAGCTTCATCTTCCTTGTTATGTCACCTCCATACTGTGAGAGATTAGGGATGGAGGGAACACTTACAGTGTTTATTGTATTTTGCGTGGGCGAATCAAAGGCGCCGCCAGTACTATATTCATCACACAGAACAGTTTTGAAGAGGAACTGTACTATATCACACGAACTGTACTATATCCGCGGATTAGCGTACGCTTGCGGGAATGACGCCCTCGGCGGCCTTTTCGTAGACGGAGTTCGACTCAGACGGTGACACAAACAGCTGCTGGAAGGGCGCTCCGCGAGCTTCTCGTCCTCTCTTCCGTTCTGAACGCCGGTTTTCCTGGTCGCCGCCTTTTGAATCGCCCACGCATACAATAAATAACTTAATGTACGGAAGCACGTGCTGTGCGCGTGATAATGGTACTCGGAACGTGGTCTCGATAGATCATACAGCAACTCGGCTGCGCCTCGTACTGTATGACTATCTCGACCACGCCCCTCGTACCAATATTACGCGCACAGCACTGACTTCAGTATATTAACTATTACATACAGAACAGTGTCTCAAGTAAAAGTTCCGTTTCTTATTTTTAGTACATTTTCCCCAAAATCATATAAAAATCAGCACCCTTCCTCTAAACATTGTAAGAAAACAAGGTATATACATTTCAGCAAATGCAGAATTTAGCAAAGTTTAATTGTCAACTTCACCAGTCAGGGTTCACAAATTTGTGAACCCTGAAATTTTTGGGTGACAAATTTGTGAACCGTATGTTGGTATTGTAGTAAGAAGTGCTCATCAATTGAAAGGTTCACAAAATTGTCATCCAGTTGCTCAAATTGTCAATTGCAAAATGACATAAACTGCTGAGTATTTCATGAAAATCAAACAAAATTGGAAACGGAACTTTTACTTGAGACACTGTTACAGTGGAACATCTGAACAAGGGACACAATGGGGCCAACAACATTTTGTCTCTTGTAGAGAGGTCGTCCCTATCTCAGAAGTCAAATAAGACACCATCGAAATGAAGTATCCTTTGTAGAGAGGTCATGGGAGGGTCCCTTATCGGAGGTTCCACTGTATACATCTCAGTAAAGTTGCGTTGTGTGCGTATGTTGGCCTTTACGTACAACTTACACATTTTGCAGTAACGTTCTTTCTGAGAGCCTTCACTCTAGACAACGAACAATATCTCTTGTGAATAAGTATTACATAGTCCAAGTTGCTTACGTCTCTCTGGCAATGATCCTCTTCCCAATGGCGGCCTGAATCGCCACTTCGAACAACTGCCTGTATAAGAGAATGGAGTTTTTCTTTCGATAAACATGCTCTTGAAAAATGCCATACACTCTAACTTTCACAAAAAATTCATATTTAGCTGGGGACCATATTAATGGTACTGGTCTTGGAAGCTTTATACCCTCAAAAACCCTCTCATGTATCAGTAGCTATGTAGGTGTTCATACTAAGTGAGCTACACTGAGCAAGAGTTCTTCCAAGAAAACTGATTGTTAACGCAGAGTGTACAGCTACATACCTGTGGATGTTGTCTTTGAGTTTCCCACAGATGGTCTTGCCAGTTGAGTAGGCCTTGTCCCTGTGTACCACCGAGGCCAGAGCATCCACCACACGACCATTCAACATGACATCCAGCTGTGTGGAGTTAGAGATACACATTCAGAATACAGCGTGTTTTCTGAGCTCTTTGTCCTAACTATTGGGTTGACTGACAGTAGAGTAGCTGACCTTCACCAGAGGAGCTGGTTCATATCCATGCTCTTCATAATCAAAACTACATTGGCACAAACAGACACATTGTAAAAGACAATTAGCTCCACAAATACACACGTCAAGCATGCATGTAGATATATTTAGCCAATAGCAAAACTATTGTAACAGGGTTTCATTTGATTGCACTAGCGGTGGAAGTAACCACTACTGCTATATATGCTCATGAGTACAGGGGTCATTTGCAGTACACGTGCTATCACATGCGCCGCCTCCAACACCGTAACATAAATCTCTGGTTGAGTGTTTGTTGTCTGCTAGATATAGAAGTACACAATCAGCTGCATCATGTGAAATGCAGTTCACGATGTAATGCTCAACACCTCAAGGAGATACAGACTCACCTGGCATATCCCGAGGAGAGGGACTTGACCTGGTCATTGAAATCAATGACCACCTCACTGAGAGGGAGAGTGTACTTGAGCAGGACTTTGCTCTGGTCCATGTACACTAGCTCCTGCTGAACCCCACGGCGATCCTGAGGATTAATAGCCAACACTCTAGTATAGTAGATGAGTATCAATTACGTATTTAAAAACACGAATGGTTCAGCCAGTCGCGTTGAATCATACTACAATATGCATGTGTATAGCAGGTCTATTACATCACTTTATGCATTTATAACTGAGGTATTGCCTTTGACGAGGAAATTAAAAGCTTAAGCTACTACATAGAGGAATGCAACACATTGTTTGGCGAGTGAGCACGAGCAGGTCAATACTGAGCGCGCATTGGTGACGGTGCTAGCAGTGCAATACTTCTCGCATTTTTGATGGAAAATCCACCCATTGAGACGACTAGGTCGCCAATAAAGATTTTTTACCATAACCGGCCCGGTTAGTTTACTCTGGAACAGTGATAGATTTTGTGCTGCAGTCTGTGCTATGTATGTCCTTTCAATCAAAAACACTGTATGCTGTAGGTGTAACAAGTGTAGCTAGGTAATTTGCTGGACCTGACAGAGGGAGAGGAGTTTTCCGAGGTGTTCATCAGGAGTCACCAGAGTCCCCAGGACCACTGGCTCTCTGAACTCCTCCACTGTGTAAACCTCCTCTGGGAACTGGGGGGAGAGGAGGTACGACAGGATTATGTACACCGTTTTGTGCAGTATACTAGAGTAATGTAAGCACGTAAACGCTGGCACAGACAACACTCTTCACCAGGTTTCCTCAGATTAATTATTCCGCACATCTCGCTCCCAATCTCACGCCTGGTAGACTGAAAGAATGGTGAAGAGGGTGTAGCCAGAAAGAGAAAGATAGAAAGGAAAGAAAACCCAGCTCCACCAGAGGGATTCGAACCCACTACCTAGTGCTTCCCGGCCAGGGCAAGTGCACTACAAATGGAGGGTGTAAAGGTTCCTGTTTCTGCCCTCACATTTGCAGGGGAATAACTACTGGTAAGGTTGAGAGAGACACTAGCACTCAGAACACCCCGAGATCCTCTACGTATGTAACTACGATGCCACCATGATGTGCAGACAAAGGTGGACAGAGCAAGGTGTGCACTAGGAACGACATGTCATTACAATTCTCCAAAAAAGGAAAAACGTCCTTAGTATATAAGTACCAGAGGTTGACCTGTGCAGGGTTAAGAAATGTCTGTTCCGATCCGTCTCTGAACACAACTGATGGATGAAATTCTGTTCTGACATCACACATTTATTCGTGTTGACGACCAACCTTTGTAGGGAACACTGGGAGTTGTCACCAGAATGGAGGCATCAAATTCCTGGGATTATAATGATCACACGACTTATTGAATGTGAAAGTAAAAAAGCTCCCATGTTTTAGTGGAAAATTCATGTTTGCGTTTCGTTTTGTCATGACATAAAATTTTCCTTGCCGACAAAACTGCCACGAGTTGAACTCTGAAAACATGCTCTCTTTTTGGTTTTTTGAGTTAGCTACACTATATTGCAGCATGTGAGCATTAATGAGGCTGCAATGCAAAGGCAAAGCAAACCAGAAACATGTAAACTACACCCAGCAAAGCATTAGTTGTACATGCTATGAAACTGGTATGCTATGAACTATAATTTCATGCACAGTGGTTGGAGGTTTGCCTTGTAGATTCGAACCCCTACCAGCTGAGTTGCCCTGGTAGCTCAGTTGGAAGAGCGCTCGCCTAGACTGCAGAGCGTCGTGGGTTCGAATCCCACCTAGGGCAGCTCTTTATTTTTCCCTGGAAAAAAGAGCTGTCCTAGGTGTAGTTGATTTGTTTGTTGTGTCTTTGCCTTTCTACCTCATAGTTTTCACATGCACTATATAGTAAAAGGGATCATAGTATAAGCCCCTCCCCCAGTCACACCTCCTCCAGTCTCTGCCTGAAGACGTCCATGTGTAGCAGCCCCAGGAACCCCAGTCTCCAGCCCTGGCCCAGAGCCACGCTGGAGTCCTGGAACACAGACACACTGCTGTCATTGAGGGTCAGTTTCTCCAGGGCCGTCCGCAGCACTGGGTACTCTGACTGGTCCATGGGGTAGAACCCTGCAAATACCTGCAAAAGTACATAATTTTTTTTGGATACGCACAATGACTGTTGACATCTTTGATACTCACACAAAGAAATAAAATGAACTCTCGGCACGGATCTGAGTGAGAGTTGAGATACTTGAGTGTGTGTCTGTCTGTTACCATGTTCTCTAAATGCGAAGCCAGCAAAAAAGCAGTAAAGCGTAACCGGCTTGGTTTTAAACACTGCATTTAATAGTGCATGAAAATCAATCGAACAAACACTGTTTGTACCTGTGAAGGTAACAACGGAGGGTGAATGTCGACTCTTGCAATTCAATTGCCCGTGTCAGACTCTCAACCGACCGCAACCCATAAAACAGTGGTTTTACCTATGCATGTCAGCATGCTGAATTCGGGTTTTGGCTTGTACTGGCAACGCCTTGTAGGGATGAATCTCATTAGTTCAGAACCACAAGTGCTGCGCCTGAGCAAAGCCTTGTGGGGATGAATCTCATTAGTTCAAAACCACAAGTGCTGCGCCTGAGCAAAGCCTTGTGGGGATGAATTCTCATTAGTTCAAAACCACAAGTGCTGCGCTCAACTCTGCCTTTATAAACTCGTGATGCCAGAGAGAGAAGTTGCGGTATGCTTTGCTGATGAGGGCTAACAAGCCCGAAACAGCTGTCCAGAGCTCCCATCTTTTTTCTCTTGGCATCACATGGTCTATTGTTACATGTGTATGCGCTGGCAGGATATGGGTGCTTGCTGGCTTCATTGCCACGGCCCAATCCACTATGTCAGCATGCTGAATTCGGGTTTTGGCTCGTACTGGCAACACCTTGTGGGGATGAATCTCATTAGTTCAGAACCACAAGTGCTGCGCCTGAGCAAAGCCTTGTGGGGATGAATCTCATTAGTTCAAAACCACAAGTGCTGCGCTCAACTCTGCCTTTATAAACTCGTGATGCCAGAGAGAGAAGTTGCGGTATGCTTTGCTGATGAGGGCTAACAAGCCCGAAACAGCTGTCCAGAGCTCCCCATCTTTTTTCTCTTGGCATCACATGGTCTATTGTTACATGTGTAGGGGTGAAGCGCTTAATACACTTAGTGCACCATTCATGTGTGCATACAGTGTGTGCAGTGCCTAGTGCATACCATTGGTTTAGCAGCTATGAAGCCAGGCAATGGAGTGACCTTTGACCCGGTGTGGTAGAAGGTATCTCCAACATGAGCCTCTGTGGAATTCCTCATTCCCAGCAGGACGTAGCCAACCTGCCCACTGTACCTGGGGTCGGTGGTAGAGAGGAGAGGCTAACATGAAAGTAATAGAGAAAGAAAATTTCAAAGATGAAATGTTCACATTATGCAACTTTGTTGAAGTTTCAAATGCATGGGTACTACCATAATAATGAAAAGCATTGGAGTGCAAACCCTCGGCAAACTGCGCACGCGCGGTACCACTAATTGATGGGCTGGGCTTTTAGTATGTGTTTACTCGTGGTATCCCGCTAGTAGCTCGCGGAGAGTCTGACACGGGCTAGCTACAGTAGTAAATAGCATGCGGGAGTCGATACACGCCCTTCGTTGTGACTTCTTATGCCTTCAAGATACACAGAGCAAGCGGCCTAAGCTTGTGCTAATTAGCATATACTAACCGCATGCGCATTCTTCCGCAGCGATAAAAACTGGCCGACTATGCATTAGCCGTACAATGCTGGAAGCGCTGTAGCTCTGCAACGGAGCATTTTTCAGAAAAAAACGCTCATAATTTCTGACCTTCATTGCCCGTTGAGTACGTCGCATTGTTTGTGAGACGAACAGACATCCGAGAGGTGAGATGTAGAGTAACAGACACACAGACAGACAGACACACAGACCCAATGAAAAGCACTGAAGTGCAAACCCTCGGCGCACTGTGACGCGCACGCGTAAGTAAACGCATGCGCCGTACCACTAATTGATGGGCTGGGTTTAGTTTTAGCTGTTACTCGTGGTCTCTTGCCAGCGCACGCAGAGTCTGACGCGGGCTAACTACACTACTAGATAGCATGCGAGAGGCGATACACGCCCTGAGTTGCATCTTCTGGTGCCTCCGAAGTACGCAGAGCACGCGGATCGATCCGTCCGTTGTGTATTTGCATATTGGTTTTTTCGCGCTCTAGCTTTGCAACGGAGCATTTTCAGAGAAAACCGCCTTTATTTTCTGACCTCAGTCGCCCGTTGGGTAGATGGTATCGTTTCTGGGACGAACAGACGTTCGAGGAGTGAGATATAGACTAACAGACAGACAAACAGACAAACCCAACTACAGTACCCTCGCTGCGCATGCGCGCCGAGGGTAATGAAAAGCACTGAAGTGCAAACCCTCAGCGAACTACGCACGCGCGGTACCACTAATTGATGGGCTGGGCTTTTAGTATGCGTTTACTCGTGGTATCCACGCTAGTAGCTCGCGGAGAGTCTGACACGGACAAGCTACAGTAGTAGATAGCATGCGGGAGTCGACACACGCCCTTCGTTGTCACTTCTTATGCCTTCAAGATACACCGATAAAAATGGCCGACTACGCATTAGCCGTACAATGGTGGAAGCACTCTAGCTTTGCAACGAAGCATTTTCAGAGAAAACCGCCTTTATTTTCTGACCTTCATTTCCCGTTAAGTAGGTCGTATCGTTTGTGAGACGAACAGACATTCGAGAAGTGAGATTGAGAGTAACAGACACACAGACAAACCCAACTACAGTACCCTCGCTGCGCATGCGCGCCGAGGGTAATGATATGCAGGAAAGTATGCTGGGCATGATAGACAATGCAACAACGTCACATTAAAGATGTATGCATATACAGTATGCCATACCCATACCTTTGAAACTTTTTCTCACGTAATTAAGTTGCATCATGTATCATGGACCATAGTCTGTACATGTTATTAGGGCTACACAAAGGGGCCTAAAACCTGGACCTCTCTTGGAGTCAACAATGTGGCACAAATTCCACATGCAAAAGGCAACAAATTGCCACTAGATTCTCGCAGAATCCCCCTTAACATCATAGTGCCAATACTACTATACACAGCTCACAGTCTGGGGATGGGTACTCTCTTAGTCTGCAGTAAGCCCACCTCTGCCACCTCATAACTGAGTCCAGTATGATAGGATGACACCTCATCTCCTACACACACAGAGAACCAGACAAGAGTTTTATAAAGCATGAACTTAGAAAGACTGCACCCTGAAAGGGTGAATGCTGTTGTTGCTCCATATTTCCTTTAAGCCTACTAGTTGATGTTAACCCATGTACACATGTTGGTAGTTGAGTAACTGTCTGTACTGTTGTATATCAGATTTCATATTCCATACTTCAAACTATGTACAACAGTTTTTTTGGGTAGTGAAGAATGCTGTACAAGGTTATTATAGCCCACGATGCATGAAAAGTATACCCACATAATCATAATATAGCATACCTACTCCAATGCTGCCATCTTTGACTGCCACGACGCACACGACTCCTCTATAGTGGTCATACCTGCACACACACACACCAACACCAGCGTCATTAATCCCGCCCACACACGTTACTGTATGTATCTCACATGACTCACCAGCTGTCAAACAGCAGTACACAGAGAGGTTTGTCCCGTGATCCAGAAGGGCTGTAGTGAGAAAATCAATAGATACCTGCAAAATAAGGTTTTATCTAAACCTTGGAATCTTTTCAATGATTGCGGAAAGCACTTTGTCTATTCCAGTCCCATGTTTAGCTGATATCTGACAAAAACATTAGGGGTTATCGCATTCAGAGCAGCCACACACAACATCACACACCTGTATGCCCTCTTCAGGACTGAATCCAAAGACGTTGTGTAACTGCTCATTGACTCTCTCAATGTTGGCGAGAGGAAGATCAATCTGAGCAGCAAACACAGCATGATACGCATTTCATGAACATTAGACAGAGATACTACGAGGAAGAAACATGTACACATGCACACACACACACACACACACACACACACATGCAGGGCTGCGCCAGAGTGCATACATAGTCCCTCTATCTCTTCATTTCTCCCCCTGAATATGTTTCGGAGGGGACACTTTGACCCCTACTAAATTTGAGTGTAAGGGGGTTGATTCTCCCCCAGCAATACCTAAATCACTAGAGCTAGCTCTGCTCATGCACAACCAAATTGTGCATGCATGTGTGGTTGCATACAGTCGTGCATTATATGAGCAAGAAACTTGTACACAGAAACACACACGCACACACATGCTTCAGAGGGGACACTTTGATCCCTAACAACAAAATTTGCGTGTAAGGGGGTTGATTCTCCCCCAGCAATAAATCTACCTCTGCTCATGCACAACAAAATAAATGGAAATTGTGCATGCATGTGTGGTTGCTTACAGTCGAGGAACTGACCTTGTTGATGACAGGAATAATTGAGAGGTTTGCCTCAAAGGAGAGCAAGAAATTAGCCACAGTTTGAGCTTGAACACCCTACATAATACAATCCAAAGTCATAAGAGCAGAAATTTGCAACCTTTTTATCAGGAACTTCTTTGTGAATGTATGTGGCAATTGCTAGCTAACACCACCACCATCCAAGGTCCCAACCTGTTGAGCATCCACCAGTAGCACAACTCCCTGAGAGGCTGCCAGAGAGCGAGACACTTCGTAGCTGAAGTCACGTGACCCTGCGTGATATCATATCAACAGACCATATACCCAAACTGCACATCAACACTTATAGCCTACCACTAGGCCGTACATTGCTAAAGCTACATAAATTTCTACTCTAAATGAAAAGCACTGAAGTGCAAACCCTTGACGAACTGCGCATGTGCGATACTGCTAATTGATGGGCTGGGCTATTGGTATGTGTTTACTCATGGTCTCCCGCTAGTAGCTCGCAGAGAGTCTGACACGGGCTAGCTACATATGTAGAGCATGCTGGAGTCGATATACACCCTTCGTTGTGACTTCTTGTGCCTCCAAGATACACAGAGCAAGCGGTCCTGGTCGAGAGGTAAGCCTGTGCTATTGGGTTGTTCCCTTGGTTTGCATGCCATAACTTTATAACACAGCATTTTAAAAATGAAAATCGCCTTTTTAAAAAAAAGTCGGTTTAGCACTGAACCTGTTACAGTCGCTCTTTGACCGATTTCTTGTGTGTGGTGGCAGAAAACGTGGTAACAGACAGACAGACACTCACAAACAAACTACCGCAACCCTCGCTGCGCATGCACGCTGAGGGTTAATAAAACCATAGTAACCATTCACGAGGGTTGCAGAAAGTAATTAAAAAACCTTGTTTACATGAACACCTAGTGTATATTGACATCGAAAAGTTGCTCAACAATGATTTGAGTAAACGGCATTTGCCATCAACATTGCACGAGCTAGAGTTCGGTATTAGTTTGCTACCAGTGGCTCACAGGTGTGTCAATGAGGTTGAGGAGATATCTGTGTCCCCTGTGGAGGTGGACCATAGAGGCAGACTGGGCCTTGACTGTTATCCCCCTCTCCCTCTCCACTGGCAGATGGTCCAGCACCTGCCTCCCTTCTTCTATCACACCTGGCGAGGTGGAACGACAGACAGGGTGCAGAGGAGAATTTAACATATTATGACATCTATTGAAATAGCAGAGGTTTGCCTGTACGCTGAATGCAGGTGTATACTTATGACTTATGAAAGAATAGTGTCATTTCTGGGCAAAATGAGTCGAATATTACCAGAAAACATGCACGTCAGGCACCATGGAAAGAGTTGTATACTAGGTGAAAAAAGGTTATACATACTTACACTCGTGCACTGTATCATTTGATGCACGGTCCACTACTCTACATGTATATACCAATCGCTCCATACACCATTATCCTACAATACATCACACACAGTACACAGTGGTCTCAAGGAGTCTGTCAGCTAGTGTGCTCTTCCCATGGTCCACGTGAGCTACGATACTAAAGTTTCTCACTCGCTCCTCTGGAAATCCTCGAGAGCTGGTGGCTAGCAAGCAGAGTAGGTAAGAGAGGGGCAAGAGAGAAAGAGATATGTGAGTAGTACTAGTCGATGCTGTTTGGTATAATTATACTTACTTCGGTGGAGAAGGCCCTTTGGGTAGAAAGGGTGCCGACGCAAGCTCACTGTTGTGAGGTACGAAACGTCGGAGGCATTTGGCACATAACCATAGAGCCGCTCCACTGGTGGAGGACAGCCCAGGCGGGGATCGCACATCATCCTCGAAAGCTAGAGTTCAAGTTCCTTGAGACATACACGCCGGCTCGCGCATGCGTACATTCTCATTGGAGTCGCGCATGCGCCAGCTTAGTTTTCATCGCTAGTTACCAAAATAAACCTCTTCTCTAGTACTTGCACAAACATGAGTGTCAGTACATAGGCAAGTGGTATAGGCACAGTCCTCATTCAGTGTGCAGCATTCAGGAGATGGAGACAATTTCGATGTCAAACACTAGAGGTGCATTGGGAGGAATTGTGCACTGCAGTCAAGGAAATAGCTATACTAAAAAAAAACAAAACACATTACACACTTTTTTGTGAGCGAATTAAGGAAGCAAATATTTCACCTGTACTTGGAATAACGTACAAACAGTATGGTATATATGTGCAGTGCTGCAGCACCGGTCACAACATACATACACTTGTTGTCGCTCACCAATAGTGTCAAACCTTCACCCTAATGGGATTTAGTGTCAACATGTGAGGCTAGCCTTACCCCCCAGAGGGAAGGCTACAGAGTGTAAGCCATACCCTGTCTTTGTGTTGTATAGAGAGAAAAAACACACATACAATAACATGGCTAGGATTTTTACTATTGTAAAAAGCAAACAACCACACAGAACCTATGGTCACAGTATAGTTATACAGTAGGGGACAGTGAAAGGATATCCCCATGCCGGGAATCCACTGGAACCATACGCCTTCTCTGCACTCAGACTGAACCGAGCCCCCTCTCCAATCTTCATAGTCAGACATCCATCGTCCCAACCTACACAGGGAGGGGTATAGCATTGGGATTAGCTATTGTATATACACACGTGCAGTGTAACCGAACTATATCAACACCGCTGAAACGACACTTTCACTACCCTGAGACGTAGGTCGTGCACGCAATTTAGCCACCTCTCAAGTATGGATAGTCTTATTTCAGGCCCAGATAAGAGGGCATGTCTAACCTTGAATGACTTTTCCCATGCCTACTTGAAAAGAGAAAACTCTCTGACCTGGATCACGTGTGCTGCAGAGAGAGTGAGGAAAGCTTGTTCTAGATACTGCAAAACAGAGCTAACAAAATTGTGAATCGAATGCAAATAAGTATATCTACTCAAGCAACAGCAAAACCTCCTCCTTTAGGTGGTCAGCTTGCTACCTCCAGAACTTCTTCATGGTGGACTGGAGGTGCCCGGTGCAGTGCACCGTCACGTTGTCTCCCCTCTGCACTGCCCTAGCCCCGGCTGGAGCTTCCTTTAGGACTTGCTTCATCACTCCTTGTACCACCAGCTGCGCCATCGTCTAGCTGACAAACTCGTGTGTGGTCTTTGGGGCACGCTTCAGGGACTCTAATTGAGCGGGAAAAAGCTGTTCGAAATTTCTCCGTGAAGATTGCTCGCTGAATCAGCAACACACGTGGCGGCGCGGGTGCAGGGAAACAAAGGGGACAAAGCGAACCAGACAATTGAAGCTGTGTCCTCGTCAAAGTCGCCTTCCATGATGCCCAAGTTTCTCCTACTCTTCTTACCGTCTCTGCTGTTCTCTGCGTGTCTCGCTGGTGATGAACAGCCTCCCCACTTCGACGAGAGCTACCTCATCGGCATGCGGGCCTACACCCGGGAGGACTGGGCCGTGGCCACTGCTGGCATGCAGCAGGCCGTGAGGGACTTTGAGAGCTATAACGAGGCCAGCCTCAAGTGCCTGAAGCTGTGCGAGAACCAAAAGGTTAGGGAGCGAAACTTGAAAGACTCATAGCTAATCCCCTAGCCTTAGCTACATGTAACGTGCCCATGTTACAAAACAAGTGGAGCATAAGGCTGTTTTCTTTTTGAGGCCCAAGCTGAAAACCGACAGCGCTTATAGCTCAGTTTGCTAGTACCTCACTGAAGGGTGCAAATCCAGATGGTTCTGTATTGTGGTATCCTGCCATCCCATGGTCGAAGTACACCATGCAAAAATGGTGTGGTGCAGGCTAACAGTAAACACAGCCAAACAGCAGTGAAGTAACATGCTTGGTGCTAGTTCTCCAAATCAAGAACCAGCTCAAAACACTTCCAGATCGATTGTCGTCGTGATGTGGGGTAGGAAATAATTTATGTGGACGCTGTCAGTTGGTCAGCCAGCGGCGCCTTAGCAGCTATACCAGTGCCAAGTATCCGTACTCATTGATGTGACTTATACTCCAGTACTTTTCTATTTGCACATACTACACATTAGTATTAGTTGGGTGCAACTGATGTGTACGAAACGACCTACATACTGTACAGTATGTACACTCTGGCAAAGTATATGTATGTTGTGTCTGTGTGTGACTGTTGTGTAGGTGAAGGTGCCAGTGGACTACTATGACGACCAGGAGCTAGCTGTGTTCCATGAGATCATAGCCAGAGAGACTTGTATAAGGAACTGCAGGGACAAGGAGGTAAGGGTATATGTAAGTGCAATGGAACCCCTTTGGTACGTACCTCTAACCTCTTTAAACTCTTCTCAGGGCACAGCTCTTGGCATGCAATCTGAAATACGGACACCCCACTCTTCGGTCCCATTAGGGTCCAGATTAGAAATTTTTTAGTGTGGTTGGAATACATGTTAACCCAAGAGCAAGCATCATCAATATGCGTGCACCATACAACTCGTATGTGGCTTGATACAACTATTTGATGGGCAGGGTTATGCTATCGTTTTACGTCAATAGACACACAGACAGACAGACCAAGTGCTGTAACCCTCGCTGTGCATGTGCGCCGAGGGTTGATAACAGACATACACAACCATACCGTAGGTGGTTGCTCGTACGCTCCGAGGGTTTGCAATACATGCTCATACATACATACCATTTCCACAATCTTGAATGTGCTTATCTTTTTATATCTTATTAACCCTCGGCGCACATGCGCAGCGAGGGTTACTGTAGTCGTTGTGTCTGTCAGTCAGTCCGTTACACTCGACATCTCACTTCACTAGCCGTCAATCGCTCCACAAACAATCATGTTTTCAGCGTTGGGTATAATTATGTCGAAAAATGTGTGGGGTTTTTCTGAAACTGCTGCGTCCGGGAGTTAAAACACGAGCGAAAAAGCCAATATGCTTATTAGCACAGGCTTACCTCGAGTGGGTCCGCTTGCTCTGTGTATCTTGAAAGCACAAGAAGTCACAAGAAAGGGCGTGTAGCGACGCCCGCTGCTGTACTACGCTGTAGCCACCCTCAGCTCTCCGCAGCTACTAGCGGGAGACCGCGAGTAAACGTAGTCCAGCCCATCAATTAGCAGTACTGCGTATGTGCAGTTCGCCGAGTTTTGCACTTCTGTGCTTTTCATTCTATGATTGCAGGTGGACGTGTACCCCAGAGCAGGGATTACCAGCTATACCATGGACCACATGAAAACAAGAATGTGTACGACTACCTTCAACTGGCTCTCTTCAGGTAAGCCACACCCTCTCCCCTTCTCTCTATACTGTTGAAGAGTATATGCGTACAGGCAGAAATTAAATTAAAACCCCTTACCCACTATCAACAGACGTTACCATGTTAGTCCGTGAAAATTAACTTTGAATACTGGTTAATTCGTAGTAGGTGAATGCAAGGTATTTGTAGTGAGCAGAATGCCCAGATTGTGGAGTTGCATTTTATATTACTAGGCACATTGTGTATAGTCGTCCTGCCTGCCTGGCCATGGTAATGGGCAGATAACAAAATGGTGCTAAAAATTGTGCGTAGGTTTGGACGAAGCAATTGTGACTTGCATGAAGCGAAACAGCTCGACTGGTGTAGCTGGTTCTCTCAGAACCCTCGTAGTGTGGCACCTCGATCACATGCATTGAGTGAGCGAACGGAAGTACAATTTCAATAGTTCATGCGACTAAGTATAAAAAATTCAGTGTGTATGTATATATGCGCACTGACCGTCACATTGAAAATAGACATGCTGCAACAACTAGGTTGGGCTTGTTTCCTTTCAATTGTACTGCACTGCAAGATAAAAAAACTAGGTGAAAGCATTGTATAGCAGGCTATGATATGACCATCGCGTGCAACATATATAAAATAATGGTACATGGTTTTTTCGACCATAAAAATTGCTTAGTTAGTCTCACTCACTGTAGTTCCCATGTAGAGTTGTTTCTTGTCCGAAAAAGGTGTCTTGATAGCCTTACTGTATACATGTCCCATCATTTTCATACACAAACAATCACAGGAGGGCAAGCGTGAGGAGGCAGCCAAGGCATGTGCCACGTTTGTCTACTATAACCCTCGTCACATCAATGCCTCGGTGAGTCTGGTGTTCCACAAGAAGAACAAGAATCTCACCGAGGAGGACTTCATTCCACACAACAAAATGACCTACGTACGTAAGAACTTTTGTTTGTTGCCAAATTATTTTAGCTTCTTTGTGTGCATTCAGAGTTTCAGGAGGGGTTAACTGATTTTGATCCCCTTTGTTTGTGCACATATCCAAACTTTGAATTACATGTGCGCTTGCAGGTGGTCCTTAACTACTTAGAAACTCATTGCATCATTCTACAATGATGTAATCAGAAAACACCTTCTTCCCCATACGCATCATTTCTCTTCCCTCCCCTTCCCTCCCTATGTATGTACACTGTATATTATGTCTGGTAAAGGTATCAGCTACGTATCACCCCCCTAGAAATCATCCTATTTTATTAGAAACACCTTCTTCCCCATACAGTATTCTGTCTTTCATTTCTCTTCCCTCCCCTCCCCTCCCTCTGTATGTACACTGTAATATCCTCCCTGCTAGTGTCATATGTACTTTGAGGTATATACAGGTACATACAGAGGGAGGGGAGGGGAGGGAAGAGACTATCCATGAATACAAAGTACATATGACACTAGCAGGGAGGTATATACAGTGTACATACAGAGGGAGGGGAGGGGAGGGAAGAGACTATCCATGAATACAAAGTACATATGACACTAGCAGGGAGGTATATACAGTGTACATACAGAGGAGGGGAGGGGAGGGAAGAGACTATTCATGAATAACAAAGGACATATGACACTAGCAGGAGGTATATACAGTGTTACTACAGAGGGAGGGGAGGGAGGGAAGAGACTAGCCATGAATAACAAAGTACATATGACACTACAGGGAGTGTATACAAGTGTACGACAGAGGGAGGGAGGGGAGGGAGAGAAATGAAAGACAGATACTGTATGGGGAGAAGGTGTTTTAGAATGATGCAATGAGTTTCCTAAGAAGTTAAGAACCACCTGCAAGCACACACTACCTCCGATGCATTCAGGTTTTGGACATGTGCACAAAGGAGGGGATGAAATTGAGTTAACTACTAAAACTCTGATTGCTCACAAACCATCTGTCTTTATACTCTTTTTGTTTTTCCCTCTTCCTCCCCTCTCCTCCCTTCCCTTCCCTCCCCTCCCCTCCCACCTTCCGCTAGTGGGACCTGTACTACATGGGCATTGAGCTCTACCATAGGAACAGTGGCAGAGCTGGTGATGTGATGGGACCTCTCTACAGGAACTGCCCGGGCTCTCCAGCGGTGCAGGGATGAGTGCTATGGCCCTCTCAACCTTGGCCGCAGAATGGGCTTTGCTCAGTTCTATTTGTACTGGACCTGGCGTCTTGTAGTGCTTGTGCAGTTAGTATATGGTAGTTCTAATATGTTGTGTGGGTACAAGTGTGCAGCTCATACACTCCATTGCGAGCTTATCCAGCAAGTTGTATTTTCAACTAGAATCTTGTTGTTTGTCGTGATGTTTGCCCTATCCACCCGAAACCCTAAACACTTTTTACTGGAAGGGTTCTAATTTGGATGCAGAGAATCTGGTTACCTCTATTAGGGTAACTATGTCCTCTTGCTTTATATTAGCCTTAGAAACTAGAAAGACGATTGTCTGTGGAGACAAGGCTAGTTTGTGTGTGTAAACTAGCTGTAGTCCCACAGGCTGCTGATTTTTTTAACACTTTCGCTGTATTTCATGCATTTAAGATATATCCAATGCACAGTAAACTTTTGAGGCCTATGCTTATACCAATTCTCTATGTCCCCAGACGGTATCCACCAGATGATCACACTGAAGGAGTGTCAGAGCCAGTGTATCCACAAACTGGGAGAACTGAGGTTTGTACAATACTGAGGAGTTCTTTGGCAGCTACTTCCACTACCTCCAGTATGGCTACCACATGTGTGAGTCACTCGTACCACCGCCAGTCACAATGTAGGGAGTGATAATCGGTACGTGACCGCATTCTCTCTTAACCGTTTCAAACGCGGGAAGCGTATACATATAGTCGCCGTCGGACCCGCCCCCCCTTTCCCACAGGAGGCGTCTATATATACGCTCTGTGCCCACATGTCCACATACACTTTCGCCTTGCGTTTCCAGCCCTCAGTTGTTAACAGCTTACCAAACAGCCCATCCTTGCCCCCCGTACACGCCCACTTCCTGCGCGCAATCTCTCCATGTCCTCGCCCGAGAAAGCTGCTGCCTATTTCCCGCAGATATACTGTTTACTCTACGCTCAATACAAGCTAGTACAGCTTGCTTTTGCAGAATGACCCCCTCTCATGCTGTTTACCTTTTCATAATCCCGCAGAGTGTAGAAATCGACGCACTTCCCGGCTACAACTATCACTCGTGTCTTTGCTAAAAACACGGGATTTTCTGCGCACGCTCATGGTGATTGCAATTGAAGCACACATTTCTGTGCATGCGCTTAAAGAGTTAAGTAAACCACCCAACCACACTTCCGGTAAGTTTCACCAGGCTCATTCCTACCTAGAAGTGAGTGTCTCCCCACACAAACTGTGCCCAGTGGTTGTATACACCTCTACATATTGCAGCCTACATATACCACGTTTCAAGATGCTAGCACGTTGAATTTTGGCAGCAGAGGGTGCTGCCCACGAAGGGTCCCACACAGAGGACTTTTTGTACCCCCCTCGGAGCACAACGGACATTATACCAGTCTGTAGCACTGGAATAGGGTTACAATGTACTGGTTTGGCATCATCGCTTGTGTATGCGCATGTGTGGGTCTCTAGTGCCCCAAGGAACGAAGTAGCCATACCCACTACCTCCAGTATGGCTACCATGTGGTGCTACACAACTGCCCCATACGCAATGTCTGGCTTTCCTGCGGGTTTTAATATCTGTTTCTTCTACCTACAATCTTCTTCTTTCAACTTCAACTACATGTCTGCAGTGAATGCAAGTCTACCAGCCATCCAGGCATCGGCCACACAGCTACAGTTGGAACCCCACAGTGATGTGGCCAAGAAAAACGCCGTCTTCTACCGACAGCAACATGGAGTCACTCGCAAGGACTTTATTCCACGAGAGGTATACAGTGTGTGAGTATTGGTGCACTTCTATTGAAATGGCTGTACATGTGCTATATATTTTTATAGAAAGGGTACTGCATGTAAACACATGTATGGTATTGTAATGGTGTGTTTGTAAGTGTATGTATCTCGAGTATTATGGTTAATCATGCAGTGTGTTTCTGCGGGATTTTGCTAAACTTAGTATTATGGCGAGCTGGAGTGACCAAACTACACATATTCAGCCATGGGTGGGCATGCACAGGAGGATCAAAGCTTTCACATAGCTGTCCTCTGCTTCTGGATGTCTGCCTCTCTTGCGTGCATCAGCGGCGAGATAGGCATTTTCCCTGCTACTTGGCTTCTTTGGGAAGCATGACGCTGCCTCCTGTAAGCTCTGTCTCTCGCTAGTCCCTGATAAGTCACGCTCCATAAGTATCTTGTTTACAACAAACACGTTTACAGAATGTGTGTAGAATTGACAGCTGCATTAAATTGGAATGTGGGTCACAAAGATAATAGAAAATATAGTTTAGTAATGTATCGAACGATAATCGAACTTAGTTCGTGCCCACCGTCCAACTTCAGACATGGTTTGGTCATGACCACGCGATCCTGCACGTAACTGTATATCACTAGCTACGTTCATATTATACTTTGGAGGTGGCTTTTGATGAGCACCTGAAAACTCTGAGAAATTGTCTTGTGCTGTGTTGGTCTAACATTGTCATAAGACCCGAAAAACAATGTGTGACTCGCAAAATAGTGTGTCAGTGTGATTTCGCATCAGTACGTTTTGCAATTTTGTGATTTTGTATGTGGTAACAAAAACACATTGTGGCATACCAACACTACAATCCATCGTGTATAAATACACAAAACCCTGAATGTCTGGTTATAGCTAATTGCAGTGAACAAAAGTGTACATTCTACGAAAGTTGTGCTAATACTACTATAATTGTCCTTGTTTCTGCTCTACTTCTTCATTGAGTGCAGACAACACATGTCACCTCCTTCCCACTGTCGTAAGGAGGACAACTGAGGCTGTTGCAAGTTGCCTCCACGTGATAGTAGAGGGCATTGCTGTCATCACGTGCATTCAGTCCAGGAACAGACTCTGGTTGTCCATCAATACACTCAAACAGTGTACGACCATTGTGGCCGTAATATGCTGCCATGAGGTATCCATTGTATTCTGTGGTCCAGTTGGTGGGGCAGCTCAGTTTGGCAGGTATCACTAGTATTTTACTTCTGATGGAGGTACAACAAACTGCACATGGTATGTTGTGGTAGTCTTTCCCTCCAAATGGCTGGTTTGTATTGGCTCGATACTCTGCTCCCCTGAGGGGACTAAAACCTTGTACTCCACTCTCATAACGGGAGTACTCTGGATCATCAGGTAGACATAGAAGATTGGCTGCACCTCCATGATGGTGATGGTAAGACCCCCCAGCTCTTCCAGAGTAGACTAGTGTTGTTCCCTGGTCAGAGGGACAGGAGGTCCTCCCCCAGCGAGTGTAGACTGTTCCTCCTCCTGTTGCTGGACCCTGTGGACCAGGCAAACCTTGAGGACCAGCCAGGCCAGTGAACCCACGACTGCCCTTGTCCCCCACTGGCCCCCGGGGACCAGATATTCCGGGAGGTCCCCGAAAACCTGGCAGTCCCCTCTCTCCCGTGTCTCCTGGCAATCCGGCCTCTCCTCTGTCTCCCTTTGCTCCCCTCTCTCCCTTCCCACCATCTCTTCCTTGCTGACCATCTGGATCTTGTTGACCCTGTTCTCCTGGAAGACCAGGCAGACCTCTGTCTCCCTTTGGTCCCTGGGCTCCTGGCTCTCCCCTCACACCATCTCTCCCGTCTCTGCCGTCTCTTCCTCTCAGGAGCTCCACTTGTGGACAGGTGTGGGTTTCTCCATCACCACTAGTGTTGCTTGGGTCTCTCTCCAGAGAATGGGCTGTTTATAGAGTGAGAAGTAAAGATGTTGCTGGTCATCTTAAAGGAAATGTGGCAGTATGTATAATAGTAGAAGCTGTTACTGAAAAAAGAATAACAATGTAGCCCTTATAATTATACTTCTACATTCCCTTAACTAGCTATTTATGATCGTCATACCTGCAGTCAGTGAGCAGATCATCGTCACAGCTAGTGTAGCTGGCATTATAACCTTTAGAACAACTCCCATTTTTTCCCTTTCAGTCATCAGCTTTTTGTGTTGTACTCAGATCGTTTTGGCCACTTTTATTTGAAGGAGACCGTGGGGGCTGTCTTGTTTTACTACACTAGATTTTTTTTATCACTACCCTTCTTTTGCTCCTACACATTTTTCTCTACTGCTTTCTTGGTGCTTCTACACGTTTTACTCCATGTTTCACTCTACTGCTTTCTTGGTGCTCCTAAACATTTTACTCCATGTTTCACTCCACTGCTTTCTTGGTGCTCCTACACGTTTTACTCCTTGTTTCACTCCACTGCTTTTTTGGTGCTCCTACACGTTTTACTCCATTCGTGTTTTACTCCACTGCTTTCTTGGTGCTCCTACACGTTTTACTCCATTCAGGTTTCACTCCACTGCTTTCTTCGTGCTCCTACACGTTTTACTCCACTTCTTTCTTGGTTGTCTTATACACAGCGCTGCTTCCTTGGTTCTCTTACACCTTTTACTCAACTGCTTACCTGGTTTTCCTATGTACACCTTTCACTCCACTGCATTCTTGGTGCTCCTACGTAGATTTTGATGCTCCTACACGTTTCACTCCTCTTTTTCCTGCTCATTCCACTCCACTACTTCCCTGGTGCTGTTACACGTTCCTCTCCACTACTTGTGACCTCTTCTGTGACAGGGAGAAGATGCAATTACGTTAGCAAAACTCATTTACTGCCAGTTTTCCTCTTTTGCAGGCTAAGTTTATAGAAACCTAATTGCATCCTTGCACTGGATCCATCAAAAGTTATCCCTTATCATGCCTTTTAATCCGTTGTGCACAGACAGGTTATCATCATTAAGCGGTTTGCGAAAAAAGGTACCGGGTATCGAACTCGGGGCCTTTGGTTTAGCAACGCAACACAACACACTACACTACAGTGAACAGTGCACATGTAGTGCACCAAAGTGTAGCTACCCCTTATATGCAAGTTCGTAATATGCTGTACCATGCAGAATGGCATATTTGTTTGATATGTGGGCTTTGATGCAAAGAATACTTCCTCCTTTAATTTATGGCTACTCCCCACTTTTTGTCCCACGTATAGCTCTAAAATGATGTTTGAATAGCTGCATTTTTTGCGTTTTGCTTTTTTGCTTCAAAGGGCAGGTGTATGATGGATAGTATATATGCAATGTATCCCCTCACAAAGATTGTGCAGATATTGCACTTTTAAAATTGTAGGCAATAATATAGAGTGTTCATAAGCACACAAAGTCAGTATCCTGTACTGCCATGTTGCACAGGATGTACAGCCACTGATAGAGTCCATGGATCTGGAGCATTCCTTCATGCATGTCCTGGATGAGTTGTCAGGTCATCTGGAGCAGTTTGGGGAGGAGAGACAGGGAGGAGAGGAGGGACAGGACGATGCTGAACTGGTCAGAAACTGTTGCTGCTGGTGTTTATCATCGCCTACGTATTAGCTCTTAACAAAAGTTTAAATATTACGTATGTCTTACAACACTGCTTGTGTTTATCATGTATTAGCTCTTAACAACAGTCTAATATCAGTTTGTGCCTAAGACAATAATCAGAGCGTCGGTAGACGCTCTGTCGCGTGTGAAATCTTATGTGATCCGCGTACAAACGCCTCCAAACTCGACTTGGCGAGAACGCCTTGGTAGACCTTTTAAAAACACTAGCAACAACTCTTGGACCCATCTCTAGCTAATTCGCATGCACAAAGTCTATTGTAAAGTACTAGCGAAATGCAAAAAAACCACAAAAATGTGGCCACAATAATTTTCACTCTAAGGTGTGTATAGTTTATAGTGTATATAGTCTGTGTCTTTATGATTTTCAGCTGGACAATGACTTCTTTGCCTATCCTCCTGCCAATATGCCACAAACAGGAGAATTGGAATGGCAAGAGTGGAGTAAGGTGCGTACATCAGACTCCAGTGTGTGAGTGGGCACATTTTTAGCCAGCATTAGTCCAGTCTTTGTGTTCTGTCATGATTTTCCATCCCTTCTCTCCTTGCCCCAGCCTGAAATAGTGAGGTTCACAACTGACCCAGACCGTATGCTGGCAGACAATGTTTTATCTCAAGACCAGTGTGACAAACTACTAGAATTGGCCAAGGTGGGATATCGTCATTATACCGTAATTATTATCGTAAACTTGAACGTTTTTGCGAACTTTGAAGTTACGTCAGTAAGAAGTACGCATTCAATTAAAGAAACAGTGGTAGCGGGTCCCTGTGGCCTTGTGTAGCTCTCCAGTTAGCAGAAAATGTTGCCGTGGCTGAGTTCGTAGTTCTCTCGCACCATTATCTGTGTACATCGAAAGCCAGTTTAGGAAATTCTATGATGACGGAGCACTCAGCAACAAAGTCTGGTATAGCTTTCAAGTGCATGGTTGGATATTTATAAATAGTGCTTTGGAAATGGACAATGTCTGACAGTTTACTGAAATGTTGTATATACTTAATCAGGTTCATTTATAACAATTGCAGCACTGTAAGGAGGGAGATGGCTACCAACGCAAGGCCCCACACACTTACAACGAGCTCTTTGAAGGACTCAACATTCTTGATGCAGCCAAGGTTTGTATTACTATGTAGTACCATGCTGCTTTCGTGCATGGCAATCACGAGTGATGTCTTACTACATAATTATGTGTTTTGTTATATGAGCTCTTGACAAAACCAAAAATAAGTCCTAAAATGCAAACCACATGTATAAACGATAAAGGAAAAATTTTTGCATGCCCCTTCCATGGCGGTTCTAGACTTTTAGTACGTAAGAGAGAGGTTAAGACTGCACAGTAATCCTGAAAGTCTTTGAACCAACGTTTTGCGTCTGAACGCGTTCGAACGCGGAAATCGCCCACGCTCAAGACGCAATTAACGTCTGTGTGAGTTTTCGTGCGTGCAAAACATCCTAATCTTTCGTGCGTGTACGTGTTGCGTGCGTGTGCGAGCGTTTGCGTGCGTGTGTCTGTGTTTACGTTCGCCGTGCGCTTTTGAGAAATGATGCGAAAAAAAGGCGGGGCAGCTTCTGCGCATGCAAATTCTAGCGCGAAAGATATGAAGCTCTGGTCGAGTTTTGGCTGCCACTGTGGAGGAGGAGGTTCGCACGAAGACTGCGTGCATTAAAAAAATTGCGTGCGTGTGTGTATGAGATTGCTTGCGTATGCGAATAATTGGGAATAAATGCGCGTACGGTTTATTGCGTGTGTTTAATGAAACGTCTGAATGCGTGTAGACGAAGAAAAGATTTGCAGTCAAACGCACGTTGGGTTCAGAGACTTTCAGAATGTACTATACATGTATGTATGAAACAGTGAAGAGGACTCACATGGTAAGAGTATGAAGCTCTCCGCATGACCCCTGAACTTACTCTTGGGGCCTTTCTCTCCGTTTCTGCTCTCGACCCCTGCCTATTTACGGCGGGCGGGCCTGTCTGAGTTGGCAGCAATTTCTCTGCTCTTGATTCCTGCGTAGCAACTGATGGCGGGTCTTGTTACTGGACTCTGCAGCAATTCGTCATTCCTTTTGAACTATTCTAGTCTGGTCTCTGCCGTTTCCTCTTTTTCTGTAGCACGTCGCCCTCTATTTCTTGAAAGATATATCACTAGCCTTTTGTCTGCTGTTTTGGCACCGAGGTGTTTCCTATACCGCAATCAGCGTTGAGAATTCTGAGCCTCTCTCTGCTCAGGAGTCTCACAGGCACGACTGTTCCACTGTGAAGAAAAATCGCTCACTGTGGCCATGGGGACACACACCTACATAATCAAACAAGACCTTTATCCATCTGACTGTGTCTGATTGACAGTAGCAAGTTTTATCTTTCAAAATAAACCTTACACTATCGTTTGTACTGTACCTTCCCCATAAATACATAGTGTCTATTATGTGTATCATGTGTTACTACAATTATACAGAAATCCCAAGAGGGAGAGGTTGTTCCAGAGCTATCTCAACTGTATGTCAATGCCAGCAGGAGGTCTCGAGATGCAATAGCCAAGGAATTCAATCTCCAAACTCCACTCTATTTCTCCTACACCCACTTAGTCTGTCGCACCGCCAAAGATGGTATGCCACACCCACCTTTATCTGTTCATTGTCTGGACGACTAAATGATCTGGCTTATTTTTTTCACAAAATCTGAAGGAGTTATTTTAGACTAGCTGAAACAACCATGCACAATAGTGAAATGTTCCTAACGCTACACTCTAGTATGTTTAACTCATTGCGCGCGTTAATGCGCATGCGTGGAATTACCGCGTCCGCGTGGTTTTTTCGAGTTCGTGCGTGCCGTTTTGTTTGCGTGTTTATACTTGGTGTAGGCCCGCAGACAAAGCCCAGATTCGTTCTTCGTGTGTTAGAAAGCCTAGTGTCATCTTAGAGCCGCAAGGAGGCCACGTTTCCATGGCAGATCTGCATTCATCGCTCTTAGATGCGTATTATACGCGCGGAAGGTGTGGCAGCTGCTGCGCACACCAGCCCCGCCTTTTATTTTGTACATGCGCAAACTGTGCGCCCACTCAAAGGTCAAAGGTGTAGCAAGGTCTGGCTGTGCCAGCGACTAGCGACGGCAACTAGGACGAAGAGAGTAGTGAGTGTTCCTACGCGTCTATATATATGCTGATCGCGTTGGCTAACATCCACGTAACGAATCTATATATAGATCCGCCGCGCGCAATGAGTTAAGGAAAACACATATGCTTAATATGGTACTTAGCTACCGGAGTGGTACTTATCGTCTTAATGCTGGATTTTTCCACATATTATATGTCTGTAACGTACATCGGGCCCTACATTCCAGAATGTGTCACGCTGAAAACGGAAAACGGAAAACTGCTAATTTTTTTAAATCGCAAATGCATTATACTGTATCTGTGTGTCTGGTAATGGGTGCTGACCATCATACCACCCCCTCCCTGCAGTGGTGGAGAGGAGAGATCTGAGTCATCCAGTCCACTCTGATAACTGCATCCTGAACGAGGCCACTGGAGAATGTGACAAAGTCCCTCCTGCCTACACCTGGAGAGACTACAGGTCAGTAGAGGGAGGGATGGGATGCGGGCGAAAAGGAAAGAACAGGAGGGTAGAGAGAGGGGGTGGTGAGAATTTGATTGGTTGACCAATAGCATCATGTGATGGCTCTTCTTTGCTCTTTTTCGACCAGAACAATTGAATGGAGAAAAAACGTCCTCATTGTCATCACCACATTTTAATGTAATACTGGGACACTATTAACTCGGAGCTTAAACAGACACATGCCACTCTCAAACCTGAAAAACAGTTACTTCTCCCTCATTTCCAGTGTACCGTAGTTGTTCAAGCAGTTCCAATTCTGGTCAAACCCCCCCTCCACAGTGCCATTCTGTACCTCAATGATGAGTTTGAAGGAGGAGACTTCTTCTATGCACACTCTACAAAAGACCTCTCACCTGAGGTATGTGAGTTTGCCATTGCCATGCTGTGTTCCTGAATTAGACTTAGCTTTTACTCGTATAGATGCGTGCTTGAATTGTGCTACCACAGCATGATCTCGTTTCACATCTGCTTTATATATCACTAAGTACGGTATAATATATAGTAGTCAAGAATGCACACCGAATAGCATACAGCTACAGTGGTGAAGGCCTGAGAACAAAGCCATCCATAGCGTCAGCAGGGAAGGAGAACATGCACGGAGTACTGGCTGTCACCAAAGGCAGGAGGTGTGCCGTGGCTCTCTGGTTCACCCTTGACCCCAATCACAAGGAGGCTACCTTCTCCATGGCTGAGGAGATTCTCCACGAGATTAAGACTGTTTCATGATAGGGATTTTGTCTACCACTGATTCAAATTGTGTTGTTCTTTTCTCTTTTGTATCAATTATGCAACTGCAAGTGTGGACATTGTAATTCACTTTTGCATCACTAGATAATTTGACAAGGAATCACATTATAACCATCCCTATTGTGGCGTAAGTATTGATCGTGTTATGGGTGTGGATGTAGGGAATAAACGGTCTGATATTCTTTCTAAGTTAAGCTTCCCTGTATGAATGTTCTTGTCTGACCCTCAAAAGCATAAGTTGTGGAGGGTAGGGCAGTAAAAGGCCAAGACTAGTATTTGCAGTCATATGTATATACCTCTCGTCAGGAAGTTAGAGTGATGGCTAGTAGCTAGTTGAACCTTCAGAACTATTGAACAATACTCCGTTTAATATCTTCTCATCTCAGGGATAATTGTTACTTTTAAGCTACCCCCTCCGACATGTGGAACAACCATGACATTGACTGTGTTTTAAACTGCTGCTGTTTTATAGGTCTGGTGGAGCTATCAGCTATCACCCCCTCCCCACGTCGAATACACCCCTTATTCCTCTCTGTCTTTATTACTCATTTGTTTTCCCCTCCTCCCCTCCTCCCTCCCCTCCCATCATCACCTTCCTGCTAGTGGGACCTGTACTGCATGGGCAGTGAGCTCTACCATAGGAACCAGTGGCAGGAGCTGGTGGATGTGATGGAGACCTCTCTACAGGAACTTACCAGGGCTCTCCAGCGGTGCAGGGATGAGTGCTACATATGGTCCTCTCAGACTTGACCACAGAATGGGCTTATCTCAGGTTTTATTTGTACTGGCCTGTAGGGAATACTAGGCCTGGCGTCTTGTAGTGCTTGTGCAGTTGGTATATGTAGTTCTAATATGTTGTATGGGTACGAAGTGTATAGCTCATACACTCATGATCATTGCGAGCTTAATTAGCAAGTTGTAATTTTCAACTGGAGCCTTGTTGTTTTTCCTGATACTCATTGTGTGTGAAAAGAAGCTATAAGTCACACAGGTAGGTTTTTTTTTACGTGTTCGCTGTATGTCATGCATTTAAGATTTATCCAATAAGTAAACTTTTGAGGCCTACGGTTATCCACCAGATGATTACGCTGAACAGAGCCAGTGTATCCACAAACTGGGAGAACTGAGGTTTGACAGGACTGAGGACTTCTTTGGCAGCTACTTCCACTACCTCCAGTATGGCTACCACATGTGTGAGTCTCTAGGTAGCTGCTTCCACTATCTCCAGAGTATGGCACTACCACATGTGTGGTGTCTAGTTCTCAAATTACATTATATACTAACTCAAGGATCGCTACCACATGTGTGAGTCACTCGTACTGCCAAGTCACAAAGTATGGAGTGATAATCGGTGCATTCTGTTAAGCAAACAACGCAACCACACTTCCGGGAAGTTTCTGCAGACTCGTTCCTATATATCTAGAAGTGAGCGTCTCCCAACAAAACTGTGCCAGCGGTTGTACATACACCTCTATACATATTGGAGTCTACATATACCACGTTTCAAACTGCTGGCATGTTACGTTTTGGCAGCAGACGGTGCTGCCCACAAAACGTGGGTGTGATTCAGAGCAGTTTTGTGCCCCCGTCGGAGCACCACGAACATTATACCAGTCTGTAGCACTGTAATTGGGTTACAATGTACTGCTTTGGAATCATGGCTTGTGTATACACATGTGTGAGTCTCTAGTGGCCCAAGGAACGAAGTAGCCATTTCCACTACCTTTACCATGTGGTGCTATGCAACTGCCCAATATCTGTTTCTTCTACCTATATCTTCTTCTTTCAATTTCAACTGCATGTCTGCAGTGAATGCAAGTCTACCAGCCATCCAGGCATCAGCCACACAGCTACAGTTGGAACCCCACAGTGATGTGGCCAAGAAAAACGCTGTCTTCTACCGACAGCAACATGGAGTCACTCGCGAGGACTTTATTCCACGAGAGGTATATACAGTGTGTGAGTATTGGTGCACTTTTATTGAAATGGCTGTACATGTGCTATAAATTGTATAGAACTTTTGTACTGCATGTCAACATATGCATGGTGTTGTAATGGTTTGTTTGTAAGTGGATGTATCTCGAGTATTAAGGTTAATCATACAGAGTCTTTTTCTGTGTGATTTTGCTAGACTTAGTATTATGGCGAGCGGCCTAACTATAGATATGCAGCCATGGGTGAGCATGCACTGGAGGATCAAAGCTTTTCGCATAGCTGTCCTCTGCTGATTCAATGTCGTTTAACTTCTGATTCAATTTGTATATAGTAAATGGAGTGCGCTATCACAAATTGCAATCCTGGCATTCCTATGCATGCTTTCTTCTATTAACTCTGTCCAAGAAAAAACTGTTTAATTGAATGTTTCGATAGTTGCATTCTTGCATAAGTTGTTGTCAACCACTTGTCTAACAGGTACCAGGGAGCACACGCATGGTGTTTTGGCACAAAATGAGCACGAGAAAGCGATGTCGGTGTACTCGATAACACATTCAAAAGGGGGGACTCGCCCCTAATTGCAGCATAGGGGCTCCCAGATGCTCCCCCAGCATCATGCCGCATGCCGTGGGAGTGTCCCGCAGCCTAAACACGTGCGACATGGATGAGATATGCTTTTTGTCACTGTGTGTAACAATCTGGTCAAAACTGAGGTACCACCAGATTCGACACGACACTGCCTTCATATTCAAAATCTAAATCAAGTGGACCCACTGGCGTACCTAAACCGGATTCCAATAGTTTTGTTGACTGTGAAAGTTGCAGTGGAGTGCAAAAATTTGTATGATGACAAGGTGTGAGATCAAAGGAATTCCAGTCAGTGTAGATGGGAGGAGCCCTTCCAGCTGAGTCTACGTTAGTGATAACATAGAGTGGCCATCGATTTCCCCATACTTTAGCTGTATGTCAACTTACTTGCCTAAACGACAGGTTAGATGATAGTAGGAAATTGCCAGGGTGGAATGCAGTTACGTACGTAGGTGTTTTACGGCTCTTGTGTGCTGCTTTTCTTGCAACAATATCGTATAATGACTATGGTTGCAAATTTCTAGTTCAAGTGAATGAAGGGATATTCACCTCTAGGTACAAGGTCCGTGAACACTAGCGCAAGCTGCTTCCCGATGATCTCGAACAGGAAGAGCATCCGGTGATCGTCAGCTTAGCTTACAGTCTTGCAACAGGCTGCATTCGAGAGCACTTGGTAAGGTGGGTAACAAAAGCAAGCTAGGCTAACGGGACATAGTACCTGTGTGAGGTAAAAGAACTGTTGCTTTGATAATTATATCTGTACGTTGAACTCTCGAGGAATAACCATGAATATCCATCACCGCTGTTTGTTGCATACGAGTGGTGTGCACTAGGAAGTATTTTGAAGCTTTTGTGGAATCTCATTTGTCAGAGCCTTATAGCTGGATGTAATTATACAACCATATTATATGATGGCTGTGGTGTTCTGGGTTGCATACTTGTGGCTTCAGTTTTGATAGACACTCCTCTGTCCTTGTGCCCTATCAAAGCTGACTACACTCAGTGTACAACCGGTAGACCACCTCTGTCCTTGTGCCCTATCAAAGCTGACTACACTCAGTGTACAACCGGTAGACCACCTCTGTCCTGTGCCCTATCAAAGCTGACTACACTCAGTGTACAACCGGTAGACCACCTCTGTCCTTGTGCCCTATCAAAGCTGACTACACTCAGTGTACAACCGGTAGACCACCTCTGTCCTTGTGCCCTATCAAAGCTGACTACACTCAGTGTACAACCGGTAGACCACCTCTGTCCTTGTGCCCTATCAAAGCTGACTACACTCAGTGTACAACCGGTAGACCACCTCTGTCCTTGTGCCCTATCAAAGCTGACTACACTCAGTGTACAACCAGTAGACCACCTCTGTCCTTGTGCCCTATGCAAAGCTGACTACACTCAGTGTACAACCGGTAGAGCCACCTCTGTCCTTGTGCCCTATCAAGCTGACTACACTCAGTGTACAACCGGTAGACCACCTCTGTCCTTGTGCCCTATCAAAGCTGACTACACTCAGTGTACAACCAGTAGACCACCTCTGTCCTTGTGCCCTATCAAAGCTGACTACACTCAGTGTACAACCGGTAGACCACCTCTGTCCTTTCTGCCTATCAAAGCTCACTACACTCAGTGTACAACCTGTAGACAACCTCGGTCCTTGTGCCCTATCAAAGCTGACTACACTCAGTGTACAACCAGTAGACCACCGGCTATAACATAAATGTCCTACTGAAATTGCTAAGTCAACAAACAAGTAGCATAGCTCAGCCCATCATGTTGCAGCACTAACCCGTGAAGGGTGTGTACTGTACTCACACTGGTGCCTTTCTAGTATGCCTATGGTTTGCAATTTAGTGCATGTGTGCCAGAAATGATTGTAACACACCTAGGAAGAAAAGTAATTATTCGTAACCTTTGGATAGAGCCGTAAATATGGTTGGAGTCTCTATAAGTGCTGCAATATGTTGTCAAGTTACATGTTCACCAAAAATCTACCTTCAAGTTTATTATGTTTATGCTACAGTTTTAGTCACTAGCTCAGTGTTCATTTCATCACTGAGTGCAGACAACACATGTCACCTCCTTCTC